ACCAAATCCCGGGAGGCTTTTGGTTGTACATAAGCAGCCTCAGCAGCTACTCTTTTTTTTGTCACTGTTGTAGATATATCTATCATACAACTTTTGCCCATTCATCTTTTTACAAGTGGACAAATTTTTGACAGCAATTACACTATTCGGCTGTGCAACCCTACCCTTAATCAAAGCAATATTTCCTTCACCATTAACCTACCCTTTCCCCCTTCCTCCCGTCCCTGGTAACCATTGACAAACTTTGTTCTCTTTTACATTTGCCTTTTTTATATAAGTGAGGTCATACAATATTTGTCCTTTGTGATTGACTTATTTCACTCACTGTGTCTTCCAGCTCCATCTATATTATAGCATATATCAAGACTTCATTTCTCCTACTGGCTGAGTAGTATTCCATTGTATGTATGTACCACATTTTGTTTATCCATCCGTACATTTATTGATGGGAATTGAGGTTGTTTCTACCTTTTAGCTATTGTGAATAGTATTGCAGTGAACACCGGTGTGCAAGTATCTGTTTGAGTTTCTGCTTTCAAGTCTTTTGGGTGTATACCTAGGAGTGGAATTCCTAGGTCATATAGTAGTTCTTGGAGCCCTGGTGGCACAGTTGTTAAGAGCTCTGCTGCTAACCAGAACGTTGGCAGTTCAAATCCACCAGCCCTTCTTGGAAACCCTATGGGGCAGTTCTACTCTCTCCTATAGGGTTGCTATGAGTCGGGATCAACTCAATGGCAGTGGGTTTAGTTTTTTTTAATAGGGTCACTAAACCCTGTAAGTTAGAATCGACTCGACAGCAGTGGATTATGGTAGTTCTATCTTTAGTCTTTTGTGGTATTGCCACAGTGTTTTCTACAAAGGCTGTACCATTTTGCATTCCCACCAGCAATGGGTAAGGGTTCTAATTTCCCCATATCCTTGCCAACATTTGTTATTTTCTGTTTTATTTTTATATTTTCCTAGTGAGAGTGAAATAATATCTCATTGTGGTTTTGATTTGCATCTCTCTGATGGCTAATGAAGGAGCCTTGGTGGCGCAGTGGTTAAAGTTCACTGCTGCTAACTCTAAGGTCCGCAGTTTGAACCCACCACCTGCTGCTTGGGAGAAATCTGTGCAGCTTCCATAAAGATTTATAGCCTTAGAAACCCAATGGAGCAGTTCTGCTCTGTTCTGTAGGGTTGCTGTGAGTTGGAATTGACTTGATGGTAATGAGTTTATTTTTTATGGCTGATAACACTGAGCATCTTTTCATGTGTTTGGTAGTCATTTGAATGTCCTCTTTGGTGAAGTGTCTGTTTAAGTCCTTTGCCCATTTTATGATTGGGTTATTTGTCTTTTTGTTTTTAA